TACTAATGACAGCTGCTTTAAAATTTTTTATTTGGGCTTATTTTTCATTGTGTTCACTCTGCTTTATTCTGAGTAAAAAGATACTAATTCAGTTTGAAAAGTTTCATCTTCAGGTACCTGACTATTATTTTTTCTCTCCAAGAATGACATATAAACACCTGTGTTGTCCTTTTGTATGTGCTCTATTTCTTGCTGTTAGGTGATCCTCAATGTATGAAGTTGCATTCAACAAGTGTGAGCAGCAGCACAGTCTTCTCCTGGTGCTGAGAAATGAATTATCACAGAAATGCTGTAGAAGTAACAATGTCAAAGGTCTTGGAACTGTTGTGATTCTTGGAGCTTATGGAGCTTTTTGTCTTTTTCTCTTGTTGCAGAGAATTTATGGCAAATACCTACGAGCAGAGAGCTTCCGGAAAGCTCTCATATATCAGAAAAAATACTTGCTGCTGTTACTAGGAGGATTCCAGGAGTGTGAAGAAGCCACACTGGCCCTCATAGCACGGATGGGGGGACAGCCTTCCTACACAGACCTTGAAATCATCACACATCATTCAAAGGGTTTCACACGATTTCGCTCTGCAGTCAGAGTGTCCATTGCAATTTCAAGGTAACCTGGAGGAAGTTACATTTCAAACAGATAGGACTGTGCTGTTTAATAAATACTTTCCTAGCTCTCTAGTGAAGTCTAGAAATTGTCATATTCCATCCTGTTTAAATGACATATTTTTGGTAGTCATGAATATAGTAGATACTTGTAGGGTGAGAAGGTGAGCAAAGTGTAGGTAAATTCTGCAGCAGAATTAAGCAGTCTGATTGTGGTTGAAAAGGGCTCAGTATCTGATAATCACAGATGGAGTGTACTGGGTAAAGTCATATTATTCAAAAAAATTATGAGCAGTTCTAAGGATTGCACTTATTTACAAAGGTTTTTTCTGCAACTTAATTTCCTTTAAAGATTAAAATCTTAAATGTAAGTATAATATAGATTTAGGAATTAATTTTCTTAATCTAGATAGTCCTTTGAATTTCACACGACTAAGTGTGAGCAGGAAGAAAAGAGGAAGAAAAAAAAAGTAAAGTTTATTGCTGCATAGTTCTGCCATGTTGCTAACCTTCTTTACAAAGGTTTGAACCCCCAGGCACTTCTGCTTGCTATTGTTCTGAGGCTTGTGTGTCATATAAATTCAAGGAAGTGTTCATGTACCTGTTGTGAGAATTTTACTCATAGTGCTCTGCAGTTGTAGTTTTGGGGCTGCAACAGAGTAAAAAAAAGTATATTTGGTATGATTTTAAAACACTGGTGTGGTGTAGCTTAGGTGTTTGAGCCATTTACTGTCCACTTGGACTAATACAGCACCTCTGGAATTGTACATGTGAAACTGAAAGCAGCTTTGGACAAAAGATGGTCTTTCTTAGGGATGTGCAAAAGGATGTTTCGTATTTGATACTCAGGTTTTAGATGCCCATGTATTAATTTTGCTTGCTGGTCAAGAAATTCTTAGAATTTCTAGAATACAAGAAGCAGATTACTTCTATCAGACTATTTCATTTATCCTGAAGCTTTTTGTTGTTTTTTTTTAAATTTGAAATGCAGAATGAAGTTCCTGGTTCGTCGATGGCACAGAGTTACAGGTTCTGGTAATCTGACTATCAATAGGGATGTCTTTAGCCAGAACACAGGTAAGTCACAGCCCACTAATGACTGAAAAAATTATATTCACAAGTCATACCACTGCTTAATAGAGATGGGTTTTAATTTTTATTATCCTCACGTGGAATGAATGGGGGCTGTTCCCTCTTTCTTTTGCTGTAATTGTTTGGATTAACCTATTTCTCAGTTTTCATGCTCAGCACAGACACTAACCTATTTGTTTCCTCTTCGTTTTTGTTTTGCTCCATTGTGGGTGGGATTTAAAAAAATAAGGAAGGTTTCCCTATGGAGCATGTTCATGAAAGCAGTTTTAGCTGAGTCATTGGAGTTTACGTAGGAGATCTGTACCACGGTCTTCTCCTTAGAACAAATGCTTGTCATTCTTTTGTTATAGGTTTAAGTTTGGGAAATAACAGTTTTCTGTTTGCTTTTTTGTGGGAGTTTTAAGGAGAATCAGAAACTTCTTTATTATTTACTGTCTGTTTAGGTCTGCAATAAAATCTTTGCTCAGTCTGTGGGAGTTTTCTCATTGACGTCAGTGAGGCCAGGATTTCACCTCTGCTTTTGCTTGAGGGAGTCTGAAAGTGGTCTACACTTGTTAAATGCCATTTTTGTGATATGCAAACAGAAAACTCATATCTGAGATTCCCAGAAGAGTGCCAAAAGGTCTTACTTTTTTAGTTTTCAAGACACTGCTTTTTGTATTTCTAATATTCTGTATATTTTGTATTTCTAGGTAATGAATTACGGCCTGATTCATTTTCTGGTGGCATGGATCTTTATGGAGAACAGAGGCATTCTTCTAGATCCAGGTGAGGCATAGAATCTCCTGGATCTCCTATAAACTTTCAATATAAGTATATTTCGAGTTTTTTATTATTATTGGCTTTCAGACACCGTTTAAGTAACTGAAAGCCTCAGTGTTTACTGCTAAGGTTTGTAACCTTTGATGCTGCAAGATTTAACTTTTTTGTAAGAATATGTCAAAAATGATGTCTCAGGCTTTGAGAGTGTGGTTACTCATCACAGCACACCCCTGCCAGTGAAACCAGACATTTTTCATCAAGGGTAACATTTTTATGAGTGCCGTCATACTTTGATGAGCTTATATGAAGTTGTGAGTTCAGATCTTCACTGAATATCAAATTCTAGCCATTTTTGGGTTTCATTTTCATGTAAACCACCTTAATATTTGTATTGTCTTAGTTTGTCATAACCATATTAGTTTACATAGTAAAAACCTTTAACCTATCTTAGCCAGTATTGACTTTTACTTACAGAGAGTAATGACAAGAGGTAGAATTCTGTAAAGATGGTGGTGTCCTTGTTGACACAAGCTTCTTAATAGAAAACTAAACTTCAGTCTACCATGGATTCTGCTGCAATCTCACTAGGAATGTGCTGGTCGGTCTTTGTCTCAAAAAAAAGCAGCAACAAATCCTGTGCAGTGGAAAGAAAAGGCCAGGGGGAAGAGTGGTTTCTCTGGCTTGGGCAGTAAGTGGCAGGGAGGATAAATGGGTTTGATGTGCTGGCTACCACACGGATACGCTAAGGGCCATGCAGGCCATAAGGTATTTCTGCCTACAGTATTTTGCTGTGTTGCTATTTTTACTCCAGATTTCCTTTTTGAAATGGTGTGTGTTGTTCTGTCCCTAGGCTCCACGGGATGCATGCTGATTTAAACCCAGTCTCCTTCGCCTGTCCCCAGCTGCAGAACTACGATCCCGAAAGGGCTCTGACGGATTACATCCATCGCCTGGAGGCACTGCAGAAGCGGCTCGGCAGCGTGCAGTCAGGTGGGGCTCAGGCACCCTCCCCAGCACCTCTGGGCAGCACAGGGACCACTGCCACGTGGGGGCTGGTTCTCTGAGATACAGAACAAACAACTTCCATTTCGATCTTCAGCCTTCAGAGGCATTTCTGAGCTGTAGCAAAAAGCTCACTTAAAATAAGATTGTAAAAATCTTTGAAAAGAGGTATACAAGCATGCTTTCATTATAGATTTTGAGATTATTGGTAACTATTTACTTCTTGATCTCTAATAAATGCACAAGGATTCAGTTGGCATCTTGTTAGGAGTTTAAGTTACATAGAGAAAAATGTACCCAGAAGATTGGAATGTGGGAGAGGAATTTTTTCTCCTACCACTTCTATTACATCTATTGTCCCATAGATGATGATTTTTGTACTGAAAGAGTAAAAAAAAAAAAAAGAGTACTGAAAGAGTACATCAAGAAAATTGTTAGAACAATGGGATAAAATTTATCAAAGTTGAGTTTTGTATTCTTGTGTTTGTCTTCCCCATCATTTGGGTAAGTTTTGTTCTTAAAAGTTTTGATCTATAAAACACCCTATTCCATCATTTCCCGTTAAAATCTTTCACACTTATTCAGCTGAATGTATGTACTTGTTCCAAGTAATCCTGATGACAATTTTTCTCCATCTTACAGGTTCGACTTCATACACTCAGTTGCACATGGGTATAAGAAGATAATAATACCCTTCAACATCTCCATCACTGGCAGTGATGCTAACAGATTGCCTTCTGTAAATCTGTGCTCTTTCTGTGCTTTTGTATAATGTGTATATTGTGGGACCAATATGAACACAGCTATACGATTGTATACAGTTCCATCCTGGCACACCCACAGAGACTGGGATTTATGGATGTAGGCACTTTGTGTTTATGGGAAAAAAAAATCTGAACAAAAAAAAAATCCCCAAACAACCCCCCCCTCAAAAAAAAACCCCAAACCCAAAACAAATCCCCCCACCATTAAATTACATGTATATTTGTGGAATGCTAATTTAAATGATTAACTTATGAAGTGTGTATTTATCAAACGGGTGCGAAGATGAAACTTGTGTATTAATTAAATTGAGCTACATTCAGCAAAGTTTACTTGCACTTTTTCTGGCAAGGCTACTGAAGTTACATTGACTCTCATAATATTTGCTACTGGCAGTGCAGACAGAATATCACTTGTAGAGACCTATTTTTGTAATGGTAGAAGTTTTGAATTTTATGGGTATTTTGTCAAAGTACTGAAATAAACATGACTTCATGCTTCTAACTGTGTTCAAGAACCGCTCCCTTATTCACATGGAACAGGTTGCTCCTGCCTGAGTTCCTCCTGCTTGTAGTGACTGCAGCTAGACTTTTTACAGATTCCAAAGTGCTGCTATCAGAGAGTGACAGGGACAAGCCTGGCTTCTGCAGACTCTGGTCACATCTGACAGGGCTGGGAGGGAAGAGCCTGTGTTCCTTCACATGCCATGACTGATACACAAGGTTTTAGAACAGTTACACTGAATTTAGACCAGGAAGGACACGACAAAACCCTGATTACATGAAGCACTGCTGAAGGGGACACTGCCCACTCCAAGAGAGAGTTTAAAATTTACTGATGAAATCTTTTCAAAAAGTTGTTCAGAGTTGAGCATGGAAAAATTACCCAAGACGTTTGTTTACAAATTTAATTCAAAATTCCCATGAGCCAGGGCTCATTACCATTTGTCATAAGCACTCTTGAACCAAACACCATTTAACAATCCTGCATGAGTCAGTACAAACCCAGACAACATTCAGCTATTTCACCTTTTTATACACATGTTATTTACAAAATTCATGTTGTTGGTATCTTCATATTGTTACTCTTACACTTGACATCAAACTTCCAGAGATCACCACTTTCAATTTTTTTTTAGAGAATTACTTGTTGCTTTCTGAACATAAGCATTTTACAACTACTTCAAGTTAGACAGTTAAATGGCTCATTCTTGAAATGACTTACCTGTGAACACTTTGAACTCTGCCTACCACTTAATTGTACAGTAGCATTTTCTTAAACCAGCCAAGACCATCCCTCGCTTGGAACAGGATCATAAATGCCAAAGGAGGCCCCACCAAGTACAGTCCCCTGTGGTGCCTGTTCCCAGCTGGGTTTGCTGAAATTGGGTACAGAGGCAAGGTAGGCAGCCTTGCCCCTTGGTTATCTGGGGAAAGTAATCTTCAATTATTTTTCAAAAGGAAAGAGTTCCATGTGTAGAAATTAGTTTTTCTTCATTAAGAGGATCTGGCATGCACCTTAAAAGTGTTACATCAATAGAAAAGATGCTTTTGCTTTAAAAATGCAATGAGAAAATTGTAGAACAAGCAATTATACACAGCAGCAGTAAACACTGTGGGCAAACAAAATAGATGCAAAACTTAGACATTTGGTAGACTACTGTTGCTTTCCTAACAGTAGATTCATCAGCTTCCATCTGCCACTTATTCTGTCACAATTTTATTCAGAAGTCTGTTAGTTCACACAACTTTAAAAAGTAAGGTTTTAGCGCCAGAGTTTACAGTGACCGCCTCTTGTATCTGATAACAGGGTTGTTAGGTGTGTGTATCATTGTTGTATAATTTATAGTTGGAAAATAGTTATTGATGAGATCAAATTCATACAAACGAAGCAAAGTAGACCAAATAGTCTTAATTTGAACATAAGCGAAGTTTTCTCCAATGCAGCGATGACGGCCTAAAAAGAAAGCCATAAAATGCAGTTAGAATATTTTATTGGATTGCCTTTGACAATCAGAAAACTTCAGAAGTTTTATGCAGACAATTCTCAACAGTCTGAAGCTCTGATGTTTCACATACCCCATTCTATTATTCCACCCATGTCTTATTTTTCCAAGTTGTCACTGCATAAAGCAGACGAGTAAGTGGAATGAGATTGTGCTGTTCTGTCCCCACTAGAAAGCATTCATTTATGTATCAGGGAAGAAGCATTTGCAACACAGAAATGAGATCAGCTCTAAGTCCATCACAGCAATATTTGCAAACTGTTCTGAAAATTGGTACTCTGCAGACTTTTTCTTTACCTTCAACTAAACTTGTGTTACCAGGTTTGTCCTTGACTTGAAAATATGTGAGTCAAGCTGGTGTGAGCCACCTCAGCACAACCTCACAGAAAGGGCTGCATTCTCTTACTCACCAGCCCCAAATGGAATGTATGTAAACTTCTCTCCAGCTGCTGGGTTATCTTGGAGGTATCTGTCAGGCTTGAAGTCCAGAGCATCATTCCAGGAGTCTCTGAGTCTGTGATTAACAGTGGGAGATACACACACTTGATGGCCGGGGGGAATATTATATCCACCAACAGTCTACAGGAGAAAAGACAAGACCCCACATGACAAAATGTCTCTATTTTTCTTTTTAAAACGTTACCTGAAGTGTTACATCATGAGGCTTTACATTTCAAGAGTTTTTGGCCAAGTGCATTTAAAATTACTGCAGCCTAACACTTCCTCTCATGAAGCACTTGAACAGGACACAGTGCTCAAGTAGTTGCAGGAATATTCCAGCTGTTTTAGTAAGGCTGAGAACTCTACAGAAGGAGGTTGTAAAAAAAAAAAAAAAAAGAAAGAATGAAATTAAAATTTATTGAGTGCATTTAAAATTACTGCAGCCTAACACTTCCTCTCATGAAGCACTTGAACAGGACACAGTGCTCAAGTAGTTGCAGGAATATTCCAGCTGTTTTAGTAAGGCTGAGAACTCTACAGAAGGAGGTTGTAAAAAAAAAAAAAGAATGAAGTTAAAATTTATTAAAAGCCTTTGACATTGAAGGGACATAGTTAAAAACACTGTGAATTTTTTTACATAGTACTGTACTTGTACAAACAAAGTTTTCTTTCAGATTTACCTAGCTTGTATTAAATGCATGCCAAATTTTGCCATTACAGCAATTAAAAGTACCTGGCAAACAAAAAAATGCCTTTGACATTGAAGGGACATAGTTAAAAACACTGTGAATTTTTTTACATGGTACCGTACTTGTACAAAACAAACTTTTCTTTCAGATGTACCTAGCTTGTATTAAATGCATGTCAAATTTTGCCATTACAGCAATTTAAAGTACCTGGCAAACAAAAAAATTGTGGCACCAAACTAAGCTCAAATAAGACTGACAAGAAAGTGTCAGTTTTGCGGAAGAAAACTGCACATGGCTGTTGCTAGATCCCAGAGCTGCTCTTCTCCAGATGGAACAATCCCTGTTCCCTCAGCCTCTCACCACCAGTGCTGCAGCCCCCTCCCAGCCAGGTGGGCCCTCTGCGTGTTTCACTTCAGTCTTTTGCTTGCTGGGGGCTGCAGGGGTCTGAAACTGGACACAATTCCACATGAACGTAAAAAATACAAAGTTCAATGTATTAATTGCTTTTGTAGCTCAACGCCGGCTATGCTACCACTGACAGAACCCCAGAATGCCATCAGCTTTCCTCCCTGCCAGCAAACACAGCTCAGATGTGTTTGCTTCTGCCAGCTGAGATACCTCTGACCTGGCCTGTGCTGCTGCAGTGAAATTAGCTCCAGGAGGTGTCCTCACCTGAGGAGTTCTGGCCATTCTCATCATGGTCATTATAGGAGGTCTAAGCCTTAAAGTTTCTTTTAGACAGCGATCCAGCAAACTGAGATCCTTGAGCTGAAAATAGAGATAAAATTATGTATCAAAATATAGCCAAGTTTATTCAACACAAACAAAATGCTATTTTATACTGTTTAAAAACATAAAATAGTGAAGAGTAAGCAGCTTATATTTACATGTACTTCATTAGCTACACTGATTATTTCTTTTCCATTTGATTCATTTGAGAAGGAAAAAATCACTGCCCATTGCAATCAAATACAACTACTGTCTTAGTGATTTGTCTCTTAAGTATTTTCTGTTGCCTAATTAAAGAACAATGTCACACTGCATTGCTTTTCTCAATGGAAATATGAGGATCTTCCTCTGGTACATAAACATAGGAACTGCAATCTTTCTAACGAACACTGATTAAAAAACAGTGACACTGCATTGCTTTTCTCAATGGAAATATGAGGATCTTCCTCTGGTACAGAACTGTCATTTATTAAATAAACATAGGAACTGCATTCTTTCTAATGAACACTGATTAAAAAACAGTATCAAGCTGAAAATTTACTTAGACAGGAAGAGAAGAGTAAATGTACTGGCAAACAGCATTATCAGAAAGATGACTGTGCCAATTATTATTTTAACAGAAAAGCATGTCACTGTATTTCATGTCTGATGAGCTTTTAATTTTTTTTCCTAAATAAGCATCTAAAAGTATAAAAATACCCCTCAGTGCTAATGTAACACACAAACCAACCTGGTCGTAAGTTAAGGGTGGCAAGTCCTCCCCACACACAGCTTTCTGTTCTGCATAGCACTGCTCCTGCAGGGCTTTGTCCCGGGCCAGGAAGAAGCCGAGCCAGGCGCTGGTGGTGGAGGACGTGTGCTGCCCTGCCAGCAGCAGCCCGATCAGCATTCCCGCTATTTCATCGTCCGTCAGCGCGCGCCCGTCCCTGCATCGAACAGAACCACGTGGGAGCTTCATGTGGTCACATTTCACTATTTAGCATTGTTATTTACAATGTAGTATTTACCATTTCTTCTAATGTACTTCTTACTCCTTCTACTCTTTTATTGTCTACCCTAAATGAAGAGGCAAAAGATCTTAGGGTAGGGAGAAGGGAGAAGAGAAGGAGAGAGACTCTTTAGGAGCCTTAAAGAAAATCATTCCTCAACAGCCAGCAAAGAGAAAGGAAGCAACCTCAGTCACCTCCTGACCACCAACGAAAATCTCAGAAATCTGAATAGCCATTGACAACTAAGTTTTAAACCTATTTTTAAGAATACAACTAGGACAAATTGCATGCAACAAAACCAATTCAGAATATGCAGGAGTGTTTCTTGGGTTTTGGTAGATAATTCTAACTAAAGAGCTCAAAGCTAAAGTAAATCTTAAAAACAAGTCTTTAAACTCTTGGCTTACTTGTATGAAGCATCAAGTAGAGTTTGGAGCATGTCATCCTCCTTTTCCTCAGACTTTCGACGTTTCTGGATAACCTTGTAGAAAATATTCTTTATTTCTCTGTGTGCTCGATCTCGTCGTCTGCAATTCAAAACACTTCCATTAGCAACTTTACACAACATAGCACAAAATGCTTATGAGCATTCGCTGGGATGTATAGAATAGCTTACAAAGAAGTGGTGGGGATAGGGGCAATCCAAACAATGATGTTTAGATAAAATGCTTAAGTTGCTTCATCTGTCAGTGCTGGTACCTGAAGCTCGGCAGAGGCAGCCAGCCTGGCAGCAGCCAGGCAGCGTGAGTGAAACCCCCATCCAGGTCGGCGTACAGCTGAGCCACCTTCTCATCCAGCAAACCTCGGATCTCCTTCCCATGCAAGCAATGGCTTGCTGTCAAAATGATCAGTTCTGAAAGGGCTTCAAACAGGTCTGAGGAAAGGTTCGAAAAACATTACTGAAATGTGTCTGATCAGATGTCTCTTTGAACAACTCTTTAATTAGATCATGGGTACCTTTTTTCTAAGGTATTTCTTTCTAGAAATTTTTCTAACAGAGTCAGTAATTCTTCCAAAGCAAGCCATTCATCACAAGCTCAATCCTTAATAAATGTAAGTTAAATACAAAGATTTAACCCTGAAATCCAAATCCATAGGATCCAAATCCAGTTAATTTTCCTGCTCACTAAGTTATTTTTATATAGTAGTCCTTAGACTACTTACTTAAATATCAATTTATATATTACCCTATTACTATGTTTACATAAAAATCATATACATTCAAAATAATTCAATATATTAAAATGTGACATGTATTATATTATTTTTATGCATTTAAATATAAGTATGTATGTTTAAAGAATATTTGACACTGTTATGCAACTGTGAGCTTGCAATGATGATGATGGGCAAGTTGGGAATGAGAGAAAGTAACACTTTTGTCACTGAGGTAACCGTATCAGCTTCAAGGATGCAGTTTTTCACTGCAGAAACTCCCAGGGCCAAGATCTTCAGCACAGGCTCTCTACGAAGTCAGAATTGCAGCTTTTCCCAGGGACTAGGAAGTGGTTACACTGAGCTGACTGATACCATCATCCAAAATGAGCAAAACTCATGGGTACCTTTTTTCTAAGGTATTTCTTTCTAGAAATTTTTCTAGCAGAGTTAGTAATTCTTCCAAAGGTGCACCACGAGCTGACTAGGACAGCAAAACTAAGACAGCCCTTCATTCCTTTCAGTGATTTTCTGAGCAGTTTTAGTCTCCAATAGTCTTACATTTGATTTTAAAAAAATCTGTATTTTCTTTCTTCTGATATTCAGTACACTTTTACCTACATAATTTTTAATTTCTTTTATATTGCAGTACATCTTTTACAAAAATATACTGCATTGGGCTTAAGTACTTCCCAGAAAACTGGAGGAAAAATGCATTTGATCCTTCTTACTTTTTTCTCCACATTCTCCCCATGCTTTGAAATACTCCTTTGTTTCTTCTTCAATCACAGATACATGCTGTCTAAACTGGGCAATGTTTAGCCCAGTTTTGAGCATCTTCTTCTGTTCCAAAAATATCTAAAAGAACCAAGACAGAATAAGCAATCAGTACAAGGACCATCATATTAATGTGACTAAAACTTATTAGAATTTCTACTATAAGAACATCCAAAAGTAAATAGGGATTATTATTAGGACTGCAGGGTACAAGAGATACTCAATTTTTACTATGGGTCAATACTCTGTTTTTCACCTTCTTTGTCTTTCAAGCAATAGTTCAGAAACATTCAAGTAAAATAATAGCTCAAAGGAGCTGCAGTTCTCTTTTGCAGTACCAAACAAAAAAAATTATTTTAGTATCTTAATTAAGCTTTATCCCGGAAGATACAAAATGCATGCAAAGCTAATAGCTCAAAGGAGCTGCAGTTCTCTTTTGCAGTACCAAACAAAAAATTTATTTTAGTACCTTAATTAAGCTTTATCCCTGAAGATACAAAATGCATGCAAAGTTGAACTATGAAATGTCCTTTAGATATTTAATCACAATCAGCCCCATCTTTGCAAAGTCTGGATTTAGCCTGTGTCCCCTGATATGTGGCCTCCTCCCCTTCTCTCCCTCTCCTGTGTTCTCTCAGGCAGAAGGACCCTGGGCTAGAAGTGACCCTTTCTTTTACAGAGCCCTCTGATCTCCCTGCCCAGGAAGTCAGACACAGAAGCAGGAGGCAAACTGCTTCCTCGGAAAACAGTGAGTTTCACACCCTTCTCACCTTTTCCTCTTTTTCTATGTACAGATTCACAGCTAACAAACCTACTGGTGAAAAGCTCTTCCTTAGATGAAACCATTCAATGTCATTGACAGGACATTGACTCAGAAAATTATTTATTTGGTTTTTAAGCCCTAATTATGAATGAGGCATCTGCCCTACAGCTCTGCACTGTACCATGAGTAATACACCAAAAACTGTCTTCGCAGCAAAGGCTCTGCATGTACAATACAGAATTAATAGAAAAGCTGCTTCCTAGAAACTCCTGTTTTGAGAATGCAGTGAGGACCCCAGCAGTCTGTCAGAGGGCACACATGTCAGAGAGCAAAGAGACAAGCACATTTTCCCTTGCAGCAGGCTAGCCAGTCCCCAGCTTGATGGAAACAGGAATAGCACACAGGAGTAAACACATCCTCTGCAATTTCAGCTCCTCTCAACAAAAAACTATCTGCAAGAGGCTTGGAGGGAGAAGGAGAGTGTGAATATGAGTTCATATATTGACTATGAATATTAACAATTACCACAATCACTGGTAAGTAAGCAAGTTACTAATTTTGAAGAATAAGGGGTGGTTCTTCCAAACACATGACTGAAAGTCACAGAATTAATAGTCAGCAGCTTAAGCAGAGAAAAGGGGGTCTCAAAAGAAACTTCAGTATGACCCATCAATTGCAAAATGCCAATGAAATTTTCTATGGCTCTCTAATTCCTATTAGATGTCTGAAATAAAATTGTGGTGGTGACAAAAAAAAAACCCAGCTTACCTCTAGCAGAATGCATTCTGGCCGCAACTGGCTGTGCTACCTCTCTAGCTTCATAGAGGGAAACTAAAGATAATCAGTGTCAGAGATAATTTAAAGGTCAATAGCAAACTCCCTGCATCTCCTTGCTGTAGAAAAAGAGTAACTTTTGTGGGGGAAAAGGATTTTTCTGGATCTGCAGAGATAATAGGAAAGACGTCCTTCTGGTATCAAAGGTATGAATTAAGCAGACATATCCACAGATACCCAAGGCTTACTGAATAATATGGTTATCTCTTGACTAAAGCAGAACTCAAGTGCACTCTAGAGAAAAAGAAAACCTAGGCTGACTGTAGAAAAATACTGAATTTCAAAAAAAGCAACAAAAAGCTGTATATGGTGGGCCAATGAGGTAGGTCTTCATTGTCCCTATGTGCCTGAAGTACAGAGTGATAAGAAATGCTTATTTGCAAGGAGATTACAGAAAATCTTATAAAACTGATGGATGAGATTAGATCACATCAAAGAAGTAGCTCTTGCATGAAGACAGACATTCAAAACCATCCACAAACTGAAGACCATGAAAGCAGAAGTCAAACCATCTGTAAGAAGTGGGTAAACTTTCACAGAATTAAGGACAAACCATGACCTTTAAGTTTCAAGCTGACATCCCATGACAGTCAGAATCCACAGAAGCACAACACAGTGAAAATCTGGCCAGCTTAGCAGCCTGATTCACAGATACTCTTCTGAAACAAGTATATACCAGAGAAGAACATGAGATGTATTGCAGAGAATCATGCACCCTCCACACTCCAGCAGCTGCAAAAGTGATTCACAATTCTATCCCTGACTTTTTGAGGAAGACCTCTGACTATGTAAACTGGTAGAAATAAGTCTGTTAGAATGGCCCCAGTCGTGGAAGAGATCTCCTAGGACACAAGAAATTATCTCCTCGTTATCCAGTCCTGCTGGTTCTCACAGGGATGAGGAGCTATGCAAATCCATCAAGTGGCAAAGAACCTACCAGCCAACCAACCAATTCTCCCCTAGACTGCTATCCACAATTTAGTACCTCCTGACAAAGGAGGAGACAACCAAGTTCTCCTTTACCTACTTAGAAAGTAGCAAGTTGTAGGTAGTTAGCTGTGTATGAGATTTCCAAAAGAACAGGGTAAGGACAACATGTTTATTCTGGATCATGGCAAAATGCCAACGTGGAGGCAAAGAGAGTAGTGATTAGTGCCCCTAAGCCACATCATTAATTGGGAAACAATGACAGCATGTAGGCAGGGATGAAGGAAGAGGTATGCTAAGGAGGAAAATAAACTGATGGTCACAGAAACTTGTCAAACGACTGCATTCATACTAACAAAATGAGGCCAGAACTGAAGATCCAAAAATAAAGTATATCACAGTGCTGCTTCTTCCATCCAACTACTCTGCTATACAACATGCCCTGAACAGAGTGCCAGTGGAGCAGGAGTGGCCACAGAAAAGCTGGCTTCTGCAGTTTGAGAGTCTGGCATGACAGGCTGCCCTCACAAAGAAGAAAGCAGCCAATGCTCAGCTCAGATAAGTTGGCTCCTGCAGTTTGAGAGTCTGGCATGACAGGCTACCCTCACAAAGAAGAAAGCAGCCAATGCCATGTGACACAGCCCCCGTGCTCCCATGCAGACTGTATGCTGCAAACATACACAGAATGATTTCTGTCCGAGCAAAACAAACCTTGTGGTTCAACTGTTAAATTATTAATCCCATGTCTAGATTTGGCATGGCATAAAGTTACCACTCTTAGGGCTTTCTCAGAAGAAACACCTGAAGTTGCTTGGAAGGAAAAAGTGAGCTGCAGGAAGCGGAATGCTGCAAGGGAAGAAAAACTGACTCACTGTTTGTTTCTCTATGGTGAGATTAGATGGTGTCAAGAACAGAAGATAACATCCAGAGTGATAAATGGCCAGGTGGTAAAGAAAACAAACTGAACACACCAGATTATCCAGAGGAGACTGTTTATCCACTGCCCTATGCCACAGATCATATGAACACAACCCCATCCCACAGAGCCAGGAGCTCAGGGCTGCCTACTCAGCACTGAAACTGCCCTGCTCTTCCATTGATCAGGAATTTAAAATACAAACCGCATTCGGGACGTCATAGGCAACTCCCCGGCCAAAGACCGGCGTCGTCAGCCGCGAGTACACATCCTCTGCGTTCAAATCCTCGTTTTTGCTGTTGAACAGCAGAGCAGCAGCATCACTGCCCAGCAGGTATGTGAATGTCTTGCCAACCATAGTGAAACTGAAGACAGGTCCATACTAAGAGAGAGAATAAACAAAAAGAATTTCTTTGAAATAACAACAAAAAACATTAAATCCCAATCTCGTACAGTCTTTCATGAGTTACTTCTTCTCCTAAAAAATATCCAGACATTTATTAAAGATAAATATATTTTAAACCACATTTAAATTTGTTCTCAATGTATATACTAGTGATATCTAATGTTATAATGAACACATGTGAGCATGCACATTTTAAAAACATTTATTTTAGAAAACGTTAATAAAAGATCAGTCACACTAAAAAAACTGGCAGAGAGATTGCAGCATATATTGACCCCAGGAATCTACAAACACTGTCTCAAAAAATTCTGGATTTATGGAGTTATGCATAGATAATTAGGGGCAAATAAGATTTTGAAGTTTAAAAGTCATCTCCAGCAGACCTTCACGCACCAGATTTGGCTTTCTCTAAGCTAACCAAGCTAAGGTTGAAGCTTTTAACTCCAGATTTAGACAATGTGAAACAGCTTGATAAATTCAATTTAATTGAAATTAAGGCTCTACTGATTTAGTTAATTCCTTCTAGGCTGTTACAGTGTAAAAACTACTGAGGTTTTATACACCAGCTCCTTTAACATCAGAGAGGCCTTAAAATTCATCAAGTTGCCCACAGAGGTGGTCAGCTGCATTTCAAGCTGGCTATAGATTGGTAAAGAATGTGAGTAAAGGTTACTGATTAGAGTAAGAAATAATTTCATGCAAATGACTTTTTAATTAACTTGTGATTCAGCTATGAGTATTACCCAAATGCACAAGCACATTTGTGACGTGAATCCCGAGAGCTCAGAAAACACTGATCTGAAGATCACAGAGCCTACTGTGCACACTCCATTCCAGATTTGAGATGGTAAATGAGAATGAACCGATTTTAAACAGGCCCCTGACAGAGAACTTAACAGACACATAAAAATACATTTGTATATGCTCAGCCAATCGTGGGAAAACATACCTTGTCATAAGCATTTTCCAAAAATTCAATGGGACTTTTTCCAAATGCAATTGCATGACCAAGGAAAGGGATGCCTGACGAAATAAAAGGTGGGTAGTTCTGTAGAAGAAAGAGAAAAATAAACACTGAATTTTCTTCAGAGATTATTACAGACTCATGAACTAATAGACTATTCTGAGCTGGAAGGGACCCACGAGGATCCAAGTCCAACTCCTGGCCGTGCACAGGACCATGAACAAGGGTGACAGCATGTGCCTGACAGAGCTGCCCAAGCGCTTCTCGAACTCTGCCAGCTTGGTGCTCTGACCACTTTTCTGGCATGTGCCAGTGCCCAAAAATAATACAATCACGTCCATTTACATATAAAACTGAGGAAGTTTTATATATATTTGCTTAAATTCTTTTGTGAAAAGGCCAACTTAAAAAAAAATTCAGTTATTCAGATAGAGCTATATTTAAAAGGAGCAAAGGTTAAGATAAAGTGAACATGATTAAGTCTTCCTACACTGCCTCTGAATGGGAAGCACAAGATTCTGAACTGAAGGCAACCAGAAACGAAACAGTGCTGGAGGATTTGTTAAACAGCCCCTCAAAAGCACCTTCAGCTTAGCACTGTGTATGAAACACATACACAGAGAGACCTACAACATAGCGAGAACCTTCTCTCAAGCTCCATCACGAAACGGCACCGGGAATGCCCCTGGGCTCCGCGAGCGCCTCAGCGGCCCGCGGGGCCGAGCAGCCCGGCAGGGCGAGGCCGGCCCGGCCGGAGCGGCCCCAGAGGCGCCCCCGGAGCCCGCTGGAACCGCCGCAGCCACCGGGCCCGCTCCGCCGCGCTGCCGAGGGCCGTCCCGGGGCTGCTCCCGCCCGCCCGGCTCCCCCGGCCCGCGGGCACCGTCCCTGCGCTCACCTTCTGCTCGGAGCCCAGGTGTCGCCGGTACCCCAGCTGGAACAGGTAGCCGAGGCTGAGCGCGAAGGCGGAGGCGGCCAGCACCAGGGAGAGGGGGTTGCCGACGGCCACCCGCTCCAGCAGGGACCCGCCGGCCTCCATGAGGTTCAGCATCTTCTCGGCGCCGGCCGCCATCCGCCGTGGCTCCGCGGGGCAGGGCGGCGCGGTGGGCCGGGCTGGTCCGAGCCCGTGCGGCGGCTGCCGGCGCTGGGCTGATCTCTGCCCATGTGACGATTGCCGGCTCAGGGCTCGGCCCCCTCAGGGCTCGGCCCCCTCGGGGCTCGGCGCCTCGGTGTTTGAGCTGCTGGGTGTCCTCGAGCACTCGGACGGCGCGGTTCTCCTCGGGGAAATGAGGCTCATGACGGTGAGCCGGCCCTCGGGCATCCCTGCCGGCGCCCCCGCTGACAGCCCGGGGCGCTGGTTTGTAAGGCTGCACAGCGCCCGGAGAACGAGGATGGCTTATTTGTGTTTAATTCCGGATGCGACAAATGTTTAATGTCAGAAAATCCGCGTGTTGTTTTTGAAATGAGTTTCTAGCAAGATCTAAGGGTTTAAGATCAAATAGTGCACAAACCTGCATTTGGAAACAGAGACCTCATCACAGCTGAGGTCAGCTTCTTGTCCACATACAGTTTTTTAACTCAACAGGCATGCATGTACCTTAATGCATTTACAGAAAATTCTGGTTTAGGTTAAGTCTTTTTGAGGCAGTATTTGTTCATCCCGTGAGTCCAGTCAGTTTCTAAAGTTTAAATGTGTAAATCTGGGAATACGAGCAGGAATCTGGTTAACCATTATGTACAATGAGACATTTCAACAGAGTATGGTTGCAAAGATTATCTGTAATGCTTTTAAATAAATTTTTGCAGAGTCCAGAAACCTAAATTCTCATAAATTCCCTACTTCATCTGAAATAAACTATTTATTTTCATCAGTTCTGAGTATTTTTAGTTTTATCAACTGGAAAAGGTGCAGAGGCAAAAGCATAAGCTTGTCACTGAATTAATATTCTTGTAGTTAGGTTTGTTTGTTTTTTTTTTAATGTGTAATATCCTGTGGTAAACCCTGTATCAAGGTCTCATATGTGCTAAGTATTACTAGATGAGTGGAGGTAGCAGAGAGCGCTTGTGAATGCTGAGATGTGAATGGAATCATTCCATTCTCTTCATATCAGCTGTGGGATCAAATAAAGTCTTCAATTTGCTGACTGCAAGCTCTGAAGTTTCCACACCCAAAGGAAATTCTTCACTGCTGTATTGACTGAGAAAGAGTTCCGTCATATTTACAAGCCTTGACAATTCTTTTGGAGGACGTGAGAGCTATCACTGGTCACTACTGACATTCTGCTCTGTCAGTTTATGAATTAAGGACATTTTTGGTGGAGTAGTGTCAGTCTCTTTCTTCCAAGGGAGAGGATTTCCAGATTAATTACCTATATACGAATATAGGTTTTACTTAATTTTTATGTAATTACTAATTATACTTAAATTTATATAGAATAGTAATTTTGTACACTATTTTTGTATCTTTAACTTATAGTAGTAACAATTAAGGTAAAGCAGAGCTTTTGCAAACCATGTATTTTTTCTGTTGAACCTGTTTCTTTTTTCAGTCAACAGCCCAGCTTCAAACTGCATCCAGCCGTATGCTGACAATGGTTGGGAAAATCCCACCTCCCTGGAGCAACTGTTCCCTGCCCCAAGCAGCAGCAGCAGCACATCACCCCAGGACCAAAGGCTTCCCTCCTGAACAAGCTGCTCACTGGGGGTCAGGGGAATCAGTTATTTCACTTGGTAAAATCCTGTCTGGTTTTTTTTGAGTTTTAAATTCTCAATTATTCTTTTGCCTTACAGGGCCTGGCTGAGTGTTCTACTCAAATCTTTGCCTTTGGCAGCTGTACAGGTTCTTAACAAAGTGCTCGTTAGATGGACTGCAGGTGGTGAGGCTGGGCATATCATGTTTACAAAGGCACAAGTGTCAGCTTTGCCCATCTTGCAGCTCATTTTCATTGTTTTTTTGTTTGATAGTGGTATTTAGTTTAGTTGTTACTAATGGTCTGTCTCAGTGGTGTTGGATTTCTCTCTGTTCCCGTTTTTTTATTTCCCTGCTTGCAGAGGAAAGGAGAGCACACATCTGCCTCACCCCAGCAGGCAGTGCAAGCTCCTATGTACCCAGGTGCCAGAAGCCTCTGGGACTGCAGAGTTGGGCCCCTGCTGCTCAGTGGTTCCATTCATGTGCAACATCTGCAAACCTCTGTCTTGCCAAAATGAACAGTTTCCAGTTTACCTGGTAAACTCCAGAGCAGTTTCCAAGGTGCTTTACCTTAATTTAGAGTCATTCCTCTGGTCCCCTCTGATGCTCTTCTTGCATACCTTACAAAGATGAGCCTGTTACAAACCACTGCTCTTTGGTAATAACACCTGCTTGGTGTAACATTTGGTGGCACTTTCATGCTGGCTACAAAAATAGGAACACCAAGTATGACTTGTTGCAAACAATTTATTAGGTAGTAATAAATAAGAATTTAGCAGAAAGGACTATACAGCAATAAGGCATATTGATAGTATAGTTATATAGGCAACTGACACACCTTCCTAACATTTTCCTCTAGTTTTCTAAGAAAGTGCTAGGTAGAGAAATGGATTTCTGATACCAGTGCCAAGTGATAGCAGGGATGCACGATGAAGGACCTGACTGTTGCATTATTTACCTTAAATAAAGCATAACAATCCATGAAAATTTACTGTTATTTAGGCCTGTGAAGTTTAAGTAGAAAATTACAGCTTGCTAAGAAGAATACAAAATACAAGTCTCCTGTTCATGTTTTTAACAGCTTACTACTTTAATTTCTCAAACTGCAGTTACTAGTAAGGTATGAGTAAAGTTACTATACAACAGCACAGTTCTTCACATTCATTTTAGCTTTTATTTGAAAACTTAGAGGCAAGTGCTAATTTTTATTTTTTTATAAAAGCTTTTTTTTTACAAAATATTGCACACTGTTCTAGCATGCAGTTTACACGGAAGAAATAGTCAAGTGCACTTAAAACCCTGAAATACAACCAGAAACTTCAAAGATTTGTGTTACAGATTCTATTTTAATGTACAAGGATATGTTTCAGACTGCATAGAATCCCACCTTATGCTTGGGACCCAACTTGTGGAGCCCCAACCCTGACTCTACAAAGAGCAGGCAGAATGCTTACAAACTGTTTCTGATGTCCTTGTCATCTTCATTCCTTCATCCTGCACTGCTTTTAGCCTGAAGAAACTGAATTGATCAGTAAGAAAATTAATTTAAGAGAAATAACTTAGTACCTCCTGTATGAGCTTTTGTTACTGCATATGTGTTGCAATCCAGGGTAGGATTTATAAAACTTTCTGAAGTCCTCTGGGTAAGGTTCATCTGTAAATCCCTGTCTCCCTCTCCTCCATACATACACTTTATATTGCACAGCAAAAGTAAAAATTCATTTTACAAAACAAGCATGCTAAACATTCAATATGGCTTCTGAATGATTTAAAGTATTTCCCTTTTGGCATCCTCATGCAGTACTTTAGAATAAATATGAATACAAAGTATGAGAAAGTTAAGAGTAAAAATAAAGCAAGCTAAAATGTTTGTCAGAAACCAAATAAAAAACAAGAGTTTATCAAAAGTAGTTGCTCAAAGGTCTAACTGGTCTTTTAAGCACATTTATCAATAGTATCTTAAAAATACAGGGTGTCTACAAAATACTGCAACATATACCACCTCCTTGATGTTCCACCAATGACACGAAAGGTAAATAGGTTAACTGAGACTTGCTTAATGGCACTGGTAGTCCCATATTTCTCTGGGAACAACAGCTTTACTGGATTCATGCTCGTCGAACTCGGTAAACCATTTAGATTTCATCAGCTTTATTGGTTAAGCTCAAGCCCTACAATAGTTAATATATGAAACACAAAAATACTTATAAAAATAATAGATATGTTGTATAGTTTTTTTTAAAAAAATAAACCATGCAGCTTCTGTACAAAGTTAAAAAAACTGTACAAATTGACTTTTCTATTGTGTAAAATTCATATACATGGAAGTCCTGTTACGAGGAGGAACAAGTTGTTTTTTGCTCAGCCATCAGATGCCATCTCATAACTATTGTTCATTTCCATCACTCGTTTCTTTCAGTTGGCATTAGCTGGCCATTTAATTTCATCAGGAGTTTTACAACGAGTCCTGCCTATGTAAAGGGAAGCAATTCAATTCTATCAGCATTTCAGAACTATGACAATCAATTACATGACAAAAGCAATTCTCAGTTTTATCCAATCTCAAACTCCATTACTTTTGATCATAAAGTTAGTGGTTCCAGCTCTCTGAATCTCTTTATATTTGGAATTAATCTAAGAGATGAGGGATTGGGCACATGCAAGAAACAGTTTCAATTAAACAAAAGGTTTATCCTAATGATTATAAATGCATTTTATGTATTTTGAATTCGGAAGGCTTCACACGCTAAGAAAACAAGCAAACATTCTAAAATATTAATAATAAAGTTTTAAAATAATTTTGTGGGGGCTTGGCTTAGGCTTCTTTTATACTATGCAAGGGTGGTTAATCTCAAGAGGCTTGTGTATCTAATTTAGGAAAAAAATAATTGAACATAAAGGATGTAAAATGATAGTGCTTACCTGCTTGGTATGTACAATAAAGCTCATTTTGTTTTCCAGACTGTGGATTTGAAAACACGTATCTCCATCTCCCAACTGCCACATAAAGCAACCGTACTTTAGGCTGAGGAGTAAAGCCTATGACCAAATGTAGGAAACTGTCACTCAGAAAATATCCTCCATACTTGCAAACTGAACTTCCCTTCATTCACAAAGACAGGATTCAGACATAAACCACTACATTCCACAATGCAGTTGTAGTTCATAAAGTAGTAAAGTGAAAAAACACAAGACTTTGTTAGTGACTTATAAAGACGTTAAAATCAGTGGAATTTTCAGTCAAGTTTAACTAAACAGCTGGATGGGAAATGACTTCTAGTACAAAGATTTTAAGAGAAGAGAATTAAGTTTTATAGTTATTACTGGCAGTTCACTTAAGCTGACCTTTGTTTCCATGTTGAGGAGGTGCAGCCCTTTTACGTTTACTCCTACATACACTTTGATGACTTTATGGCTACTTGAACTTGCTTTGGTGAATATCTGTCCTGTGAAAAAAGCTGCTCCGTAAGTAGGAATTTCCCAGCAATTCTGCAAGAACATGCGCTGAAGGTGATGCATCTCCTTACTGACACCTTCACTGGTGCTGAGATTCTAAAAATAAAGAAACAATGGCAATCAACAAGTCCTTCCAAACAGTTGTGATTGTTTGAAGAAAATCCACTGTTCAGTGCAATCCCTACTAAATGCTTATTTCCAAAGTGCCTTCCCATCAGCCATCTTCCTACAGCTAAATTAAACCTTGGAGCCATGGAAGGGCTCAAGTGCTAGAAGAGACTGAGGCAAAACCCAGAAACCTACATAAGCCTTGGAAATCTGAGCACAGACACACAGCCTCTGAAGGGCCCCACAGCTTTGCCTCTCCCAGAATTAACTGGGACTTGAGATCAGCAGCTGTGCACCCATCTGACACCAAATGCATCACAATCCTTAAAACGAAGTATTCTTCCTCCTTTGAGGGAGTCCAGTCCAGTGAGATATGCTAAGATGAGCAAGTACCTCCTTCCAAAAACATGGATTGTTTTTTTCTTTTCTAAGCAAAAGAGAGGTGCAGATTTCTTTTCATTAGTGGAGCCTTCATTCAGAATGAGACAGATTTCTGTTCCTTCCTCTTCAGTTAAGAGTGCAGCAGTCAGAACAAACTATTGCTGGAGTGCTCCTCAAACCAGAATAATAACAACCCCCTAACAAATAAAAAATTGGTTGGGCTGTGGACAAGATCAGAAGCCACGACACGAAGGAAAACACAAATCTTCCGCAGTTAGAGGGCCATGACTGTAGGTGTGGTAGACAGGATCAGCTTCTCTGGATCCATACCCTGCCTTAGAGCTTACCTGAATTCTACACAGCCATTTCTAACACATAAAATCTTCAGAACAAAAGACTGCAACTTCTTTCCCCTTCCCCCCATGCCCCACACCCCAAAATAATGTCCCAAAAGCAGAAGTCAAAAAAGCTAGGCTCATTCTTACATATAATTTGATGACAGAGTAGATGACTTTGCTACACCATAGTCTTAGACCACCATCACCCTCTCCTTCATCTCTATTAAAAAGAATAGGAATGATCTGATAATTTCTGACAAAAAAAGGTGTGAACACCAAAAGAAAGTTTATGACTGAGTAATCTCATGTCAAAACCAGCAAGGTTTGAAAACATTCACTAGGTGCCTCTGCAATGTTTCCTGGCAGCTACCTTTAGTGATGCACATCAGCTGGTACAGTTCTCTTTCTGACACACCTCACTTCATCCACAATTACTTGTGAAGACCACAAATTTAATCTGACCTCATTTGGAACTCACAGCCCTCAGTTAGATGCATTTTTACACAAGCAGCCCAAGTCCAAAAAATTTAACATTGTTGCTCAATTAACTGCTCTAAACAAAGGAGTTTGTGTATGTGTGTTTGTGCATGTGTGTGCACATCAGCAGCACTACCAGGTCCCTGAGATACAAGTTACACTGACAAAAAGGACTTTGGGGATCTATTGCTACAAGCGGACATGGAAATTTAAATCAGAGTAGATTTTTTCACACCTATGCCTGAACTGGAATTGTACCCAATACAGAGCTAACACTGAAGGTAAATGAACAGATAACAAACATATTGACTTCTAACAAAGAGATCTGTAACTGTACAAGAAATATATTCCACAATGAATTCCAAAAATTCAGAGCATACACATTTTTAGCTTTTTATACCAGTATTTCTGTTCATTAATTGACAACCAAACAGTCAAAAATGTTTAAGAACAGGATTTTCTACTACCTGCTTATTTATCTTACCTTGTATTCATGAAGTATCCTGTTTGTCCAATGAGGAGCTTTGCTTTTTAGTTTAGTTATTGGTACGATAGATTTAAGATTTTCTTCACTAAGAGAAAAACAAAGAGCAACAAAGCTTTTCTTCACTAAACAAAGTAAGGAAAAAGAACCACGTCTGCCACAGTGTACCTTCAAGTCATATACTGAGCTAGACAGTCAGCTCCTACTCCATCTTGCCTCATCAGATGAGATGGTTTCCTAAGATACAGTGCAATTCTCAGTTAATGAAGATCCAGCTTTACATTATGTGTAAATAATGTAAAGCTGTCACACATCATGGACGTGGCATGGAGAGGAAATGCCAGCAGAACACACAACACATACTTGGCTAGAGAGCAGTTTGGTGAATTCCAGGTTGGAAGCCAAAATTATATATAAAATGCCATTTACATCAGCATATCACATACTTAGAAAATATGACAGACTGTAGACACTCTTCCTTTCACTCCTGCAGTAGCACTACCAGGGACCCAGCCCAAATAATTTCCACATTGAAGTTATATATTATATTACATGAAAGAGAAGCTACTTACATCAACTGCCTTTTTAAAAAACCTAAATTGCAGAAAAGAAAAAAACCCAAAAAACTAAAAGGCAGAATGCAAGCCTTTACTAGTTTTTTACAAACAACAACTAGGGATATATTTTTGGAATTACCAGTCTTTTAATGAACATTTTTGTCAACCACGGAAAGAAAAACAGATTATGAAACTCCTCATCCATATGAAGAAGAACTATGTGAAAATGGATGGAAAGCATGTCCAAATGGCTTTTTATCTAGCCAAACCTATCTTTGCAGGTAGACCTGTTTGTAGAGCCAAAAAACTTCCACTGAGCAGGATGAACTTGGAACCACAGTATTGATAGGCCTCAGTGTGGAGAGGAGCACCACCCTGCAGCTGCTGGGAGCCAGCAGGGAGTAGTTTCATGCAAAACTCAGCTGCACTGAACTGCACACTTGTACAAGAGGACAATCCCACTTAAACCCCGTTCCCCTCATGCTCCATCGACTGGGTGTTCAGCTGCAGGACAATACATGCAAAAACCCATCAGGCCAAGGCAGCTCAGCTGATGCTGTGAATAAGAGAAGATGAGAAGCACAGCAGCATTCCAGAACAGCACAGCTGCAGTTCCATGAATGAAGTGAGGTGGAGACGGCAGGGGGTGAAGGTGCACACAGTAGAGAACTGGAATCCTCACGGGCTTAGATACTGCTGCAGAAATGTATGTGGGAAGAACAAGCCATCCCAAAATAGCTCAGCTACTGTTCTTCTGGCATGCAGAGAGAAGGGGAGAGAAAAATACCATCTGGCTGAGCCCTACTGGTGCTATGGGTTTGACTAATTTAGTACAGCATTTCTCCTGCAAATGACAGGAGACACAATATCACTGCATGGTCTGTCCAAAGAGGGAAAATCAGTCCCAGACATTGGTCCAACTGCCATAGTAAAATGTTTCTTCAACACTGCTCAAGGCCTCAGTCCTGTCAGAACCCTTTAAATAAATGCTGTTGTTTATTTTGGTATTACTGTATCTCAGGACAGATTTTACATACTACAGAACCTCCACCCCTCTGTCTAGGACTGCAATAATTAAGATAAATACATTTTTACATACAATGCCCAACTTCTATTAATGCTACAAGGGTTACATGATTACTCTGAACTGTAGCTCAGTGAAGAAAACCAACAAATACATCATACCTAAAGTCTGAGGTTCCATAGGAAGTGCCATCTAAAAATACTTAATCTAACCCATAATTTTAAATTTTAAACACATACTCACTTTAGAAAGCCCTGTTTATGTTTCTTGCTCTCATAATTTCCATAGACTATTTGTAGAAGAAGACTTGCCAGTGTAATCAGCTTTGCATCAGGTGATGTATAAAAACCTTTCAGTAAATTATATCTGGCCTCATCAAAAAGTATAAGAATAGCCAAGGGATCCTCAATCTGTTAAAAAATATTTAAATAATATTATTTCTTTGTAAAAAGGAAAATAAGCTTAGAAACTATGAATAGCATTTCTCACTGATTCAGAGACAGGAGACAAAGGTGTGATCCTGACTGAAGTGTACATTTTAGTGGTGCTTTGTAATAGAAGCATTGTTTTTCATTTACTTACTTCAACACTTCACTGATCTAACAAACAAATGAAAGGCAACTAGCACACCATACCCAATCTAAAAGTTCACAGAAATATCAGTATATGTGGATTTCTTCCCCCATAAATTCATTTTTGGTAATATGTTTGAATAATCCCATTGAAATTGACCAATTAAATAACTGAAAAACAACAGCACAAGGAATAAAATCAGGCAGGTTGTTTTTAGCTGTATGACAGACAGAGACTGACACATGGAGACATTGGATAAACCCAACTGAGAGGGTAAGAAAGAGAGAGAGAACAAAGATGGCAGGAAGACAAGAGAGAGGAAGGGAAGAATGTGAAGACTCAAACCATTACAGAAAAGGAGATGTCAGGTTTAAAAAAGTTTGGAAATTACTACAGTCACTATACACTCTGAGTGTTGACAGTCCAAGTGTTGTGAGTCTGACCATAATTTCATTCACTTCCAAGTCCTGACCTTTTTTTCTATTTCCAGTGGAAGTCTCACATCCCTTCTCAGGAAAAGCTGTGAAGTTTCCCTTTGAGGATCCAAGTTTGTCAGTTCAGTGAATATTTCAGGCCAGTCTCGAATATGCTGCAAAGGCTTGTGATATGGCTTCAGCTGGAGACCTAAAAAATAACAGGTTTGTTTCTAAATAAACAAACAGAATAACCCAGCACAAACACACACACATACACATAAATGATTAAATGCTGCACCAAACCCAGAGTACCTGAAATTGAGGACTCATTAACAAACCCTATGTCTTCCCTATGTTTTCTAAACTGCTATATAGAAAAGATTTTGAAAATATGGATTTATTGAAAAAACTCTTAGCATCAACTCACTAAATGCAATAGTTTCTCAAGAGTGAAGTGCTATTTAAGAATTTAATGGAGTACCAAGACTGGCCTTCAAAACACAGTAATAAAACACGAGAGACTCCTGTCTCTTTTATTGTGGCAGAAATATAAAGTCCAATAATCTTATTTCTGACAGAAAAATACAGATATAATTTGTCTCATAAATGTATCTGCCCTTTTTGTATATATATAAAAACCACAAACTTTTCAGAACAGACATTCTTCTTTTCAGAAGACATTCTTCTTTTTAATCTGTAAAATGTCTTGATTCTTAACAGGCTAAAGTCAATCAATGTTTCATGTTCTCTTGTGTATATGAGAGCTGAGAAATTAATACAGAGCTTTCAACTACAGTCATACTATGTACCAGAGTCTGTATCTTTGGCTTACTCACTCACCCTGTCTGTCCTTGGGTTAGCACTTGGCTTTTCCTAGGAGTGAGGCTCTAGGAGGCTGTATCTGCCTCACGCTCACTGCTCTGGCTTTCACACTGTGGCATTTCACATGATATGAAAAACGTAAATGGATACATTATAGTGCAACATCTTTCACTGGGAACAATCTGTTCATTTAACTTATCCATCTTACATTCAAACACAGAAAAGCATCATCTGTTCTACAAGCAAGAAACATACTGTCCTTACAGTTGTACAGAAACTGCAACATACTTTATAATGAAACTTGTCCATTAGTTGTTTGAAGCCATAAATCAAGAGCTCATTTTCAAATCTAGGCTAAATATCTAAAGAATTACTTGCTGTTACACAAACAATTTATCAGTGAGCTCTTCCCCCAAATGCAAGGGTAATACTTCAGTGATTCTATGACAACATTACATACATATTTAGAAAAGGCAAAAGCAGCAATACTTTAACCCTCAAACACTTCCTTTCCTTCACATTAACATCTGTGTTTAGCTGAGGGTTACACTAGTCATAAAAATACAACTGTAGCACTGGCAACAGTAAATAAAATTTTAAATGCAAGGCTGCTGTGTTAATGACACTCCCAACACAGTATCCTACCAGACCACAAGTGAGCTTTGTAATCCACAAGGTGTCCCATAGCTATCCTATTGTAGCAGTACTGTTGACCACATTATCTGAAAACATCCAACCACACTTGCTGACTCTTGGGCTTCCGCTTATCTTCTAGTATGTGTCTCAAACAAAAACTGTAATATCTTTTTATGCAGATCGGAAATACCAAAAAATACCACAAATATAAATATGACATTTTACATCAGAATTCACTCCCATCAAATATATTTGAAAACTTGTTTATCAAAAATTATTTTGATGCAAAACACAGGAAAATTCCTATGATTAAAGGACCTAATGAAAAAACATTAATTATCTTAATTAGTAGTTTTAAAACGACTGGACATTGGTAAAAACTACATGAATGCAAATTGAGATAGTCTGGGAAGAAAAATACGGATAAAACCAGGATAAGCTGCTAGTAAGGTCTATGACAGGCAAGCTGGAACAGCCTCATCTTCCTGGATGAAATACATTATAGGTGCCAGAGTGATAGAGTCAGACCTATCAAGGGTACCCAAATTAAAAGCTAAAACTAGAGAAGCTCTCCACAGCTCTGAAAGCAGTTTGAAGCCTGTCAGAGAGCATGTCTCCTACTCTCCTAAGACAGCATTACTTTTTCCTGAAGGCAAACAGAAATAAACTATGATAAACCCTCAAGGGTAACCATTGTCCCTTTTACTTACTGAGGTTCTCAGAACAGATCCAGATAGTGAAGTACTGCTGAGTTTCTTGAGACAGGCGCATGCCCTCCATGATCTGCTGGACAGTTGTGTTGTTTCCGTGTTTCAGCTCCACTGAGCGGTATGACCCGTCCATACGATAAATCCGTGCCTTTTCATACTACATAAAAATGGGCACATATTACACAAACCATTTGTTAAAATCCTTTCTGTTTGTGTTTCTAGAGAGGAAAGTAGTTTTACCATCAGCAACATTGGGAAAAAGAACATTGCACAACTCCCACGTATTTATTATTTACCCAAATTGCTTGTTTCATGTTCTGTGCAAGTTCTTATATTGTGTTTTTTACAACAATAACTCTAAGAAAGATCTTGCTGGTATTCTGAGGACTTCTGTCAAAGGCAAGTAGGTATTTAAAAGTTCCCAGAGGGATCTGTGCTCAGTGCCTATGCATATCCCAAAATGTTCACTTTGGTATTACCTATGAATTTTTCTACCCTATACTAAAAGAATTTATTTTTAGAGGGAAGCACCACCCTTTACTCAGAACTCACTACAAGAATACAATCTCACTAAGTCTTATAGTGCTCCTGTAATAGAATCTAAGTAAGTCTTATAAATAATAAATCATTCTCCCCTTCAGATTTCACTGAATTGCATGTGAGCCCATAGTGTGTCTTCTGAAAGACATATATAAACATACATCAGGTGCTTAAAGCATACATACTCAAGTCATAAATCAATGAACTGTCTTGTTTTCATTTCTGTAACAGATTAGATGTTTCAGCTGCTTGAATAAAAACATTTCAGGAATTTGTTATTTCTCTTCCTCATATCTACTAAGTCATCAAGAATTGAGTTCCTAAAAACTTCTGGAAAAAAAAGATGGATGGCTTGGAAAATGACAAGTGATTGAAAATGAGGTCGGAATAGAAAACATCAGTCTATTTTTGCTGCAGTAGTCGCTGTCATTCCTACTGCAGTAGTTTATAGGGGTAGTTTATATATTGTATTAATTAAATAGTAATACATGACAACATAACATCATGCATTACACTCTGAAATCTACTTAAAACGTGTCCATTAGTCTTTAGAATCGTTCACATGATCTACTGCATAGTAAGATCCTTAAAATGAAGGTCATCTCCTTCCTTAATTATCTTGGAAAATCATTCATGCAGAGTGAAATGAAGATAATTTAAAACATTAGAAAAACTGACAGGTTTAGTACCACCTACTTACAAGAATACAGGTTGCATCTGAAGTCAAGGAAAAGAAACAAGTGGGATTATATCATTTGACTAATTTTAAATCTAGTTCAGGATAAGAGGAATTGCATTGTACATTTTGTTTCCTATCCTGGCTCAATCTCCACTGGCTTCCAAGGAAGCCTGCACTGACTAACTGATGAAAAGCCTATTTCATAGAAGCCTGCATTTAGCCAGGTGAATGCTCCTGCTTATCAACTTATAAGACAAAAATGCATAAAGAAAGCTGATGGTTGCATGATCAAAAATAGACATAAAATCAGTAGCTCATGTGACGCTCCTGTAAGTAAATTGAAACATCATGTTTACATGTCTTACATGTATTTCTTGAGCCATGAAACAGAATAGAAACATTTAAAGAGACAAAATGCCAGTTTGCCAATATATTTACTCTAAATTTCAATGCGCTGCATCTCTAGTAACAGCCAGAAATGACCCTAGCTGTTCTAAAAGATTAAGTGTAAACTAACTATAAATTTAAAAATATTTAGAAAATAAACTCATACAGGTTTATTTATGGCTTCCTTCAGTAGTTTTGCAGCTTCTTCCCACTCATTTTGTTTGTTCTCTTCACAGACATTCAGTGGAGATCTTCCCTGTTGATCAGTAATGTGCTACAAACAAACAGAAACACCAATTCTACACTGATTTCACTGGAAACAGGTAAATATTTACACATTTTTAAGACAATTAAAATCCTTGATACCAGAGTTCAAACATTTAATTGATACACAATGGGAAAAGCAGAGGTAATCAAAAACATTTAACCATTTTTCAGTAATTGCTAAACAAGATCATTGATTTGACACCAAAATATTTCTCATACAAAAGCTAGAAATTGTTGCTAATCTGCTATTTCTATACACAAACAGAACTTACTCTGTCAATTTCAGGATGGTTTAGTAGAATTTGTACTATTTCAGCATGCCCACCTCCAGCAGCAAAATGAAGAGGAGAGCTAAGTTGACCATTCAAAAGATTTGGATTGCATTTCCCTTTCTCCAGCAGCATTCGAGTGGCTTCAACTTTTCCATACCTGCAGACATGTTTAAATCAGAACAGAGACAACAAATATACAATAATTTTTTTCAGATGATCCTAATTATGAATAAGTGTTTTATCAGATTGTCCTATTTATGAAAAAGTGTGGTTTTGTTCACACTGAAGAGTTTTAGCTTTCAAATTACACCAGATACAATGGAATATAATTAAGTTTGTAGAAATTAATATCAATTCTACACTTCTTTGGTAATGACTGGTCTAGTAACCATTGATTGGATTCATGATAGACAAACAGAACCTTGCTTTAAGCTAGATAAGTTTGGGTAGTCGCAGCAATTCAGTCATGGCAAAACAGAGTCCAGCTTTGTCTGGAAAAAATAATCAGTGTGAGAATCAGAGTTCAGCTTCTGCTTGTCATGCAGACGGATCCTGAGGATTCTTAACCCCCATGCTTATAACTGGTAACTCTTGTGTGTATTTGATGTAAAAAGTATTTACAAACTTTCTGACAAACACTAAAAAGCAAGTAAGAATGTGGGCTTTTTATAATCAAGTTTGATTTTCATGTTATGCCCATCATCAGACACACTGACTGCAACATATACAAAAGACTAACTTCAAAGATGAAACAAAAGCATTTTTATGACTGAGAAAAGCTTTCAAGCACTTAAATCGGATTAAATCACAGAGTTACAGTCAGACATGTTGACCTCTGTAAGTCACCTAGTCTAGCTTCCCACTTAAAGTGTGTCCAGCACCAAAACATGCCCATCTCAGCTAGTGCTGTGCTGTAAAACTGCTCACAGGCTTAAGCCAACACAGTGTGAAAGTTACCATGCTAAAGTAAACCCAGTGCCTCCAGCAGGAATTAGAATAGTCAGGAGAGATACAAGAAACAATAAGTGATGACATGATCTTCACAACTGGTCTCCCCAAAAACCATTCAAATTAAAATTATCTCAAAACCTGAAGCAATGTTTCTCTTCAAAAGGTTAACACTAGCACATATTATAATGAAAGCATAAAAAGTCTAGAGTTTTTTTATTTTATTATTATTTATTCTTTTGGAGGCTGATAAATTATATAAATGATAGCGGTAAAGAATCATGACAGCTAGAATGCACTAGATTGGCAAAACTATGCTTGACTCACCAGCATGCATAATGGATTGGTGCCCAGTGGTCACTATCCAACTGATTAACAGAAAACTTTTTATCCAGAAGGTGGCTTAGTAAATCAGAGTCTCCTTCACAAGCACTGCGGTGAAGAGGGAAATCATCTACCCACTGGTGTTCCCTACGAATTAAAAGGGGAAGCAGGAAAAACACCTTTCAGAAATACTACAATTGAGAATATCAACTTGTTAAAAGTTACAACACAACACTAATCACAGATCTACACGAAGAATAAAAGAGAAGTTCATGCAGCTAAAATGTGCCAGTATTCATACAAATAGCTTTTTTGTCATGCAGAAATCAAGCCACAGCTGTATTTACTAGAGTAAGAAATGCTTCTCTAATGTTTATAATTTACACCTTTCTTGATTCATCCTTTAACTGTTGTGTTTCAATACTTAAAGATCTCAAATAGAATTTCATTTAAAATATATATTTTTACAGTGAAGCATAAAGTAATAGAAATCTCTTTTTAAGTCTACCAAGTGCTACTGTAATAAAACAAAACAAAATTATCCATTAATGAAAAAGGAATGTAACATAATACTTGTCCTCTGTGACACTGCTCATGCTACGTTGCCACTTTTCTCTTTTAGGAATCTGAATCTTTGAATAGTCTGGGGCTCCAAGGCCAAAGTATGGATTTATTACCACCTTGTCAACCTGTGAAGACATAATTTAAACACAACTGAAAAAATATCTTACTGAGATTAGGCTACATGATCCCCCATTCCAGTCCAAAGTTATAATAGTAACATTTTATAATGAAAGAGAATTATGATCAAATATGAGGATTTGAAAAACTAGTGCACACTTACTGCTAAATAAACAGCTCTGGTGTGACCACACACTCATATCAAATAAATGAATGAACTCTAAAATGAAAATATATATATGTTTCACAAATACAAAATGAAAATATAGTTCTTACCCTATTGGTATACTGAAGGTCAGATCCAAACAATGGATTATAGATACACATATCTGCTTTCTCCAATGCCAGCATTTTACTCTTTATTTCCAGGGCTGTATAACCCATGTGCAATGAGCTCTCTGTTTGACCAGGTTCTATAGCATAGGCAGGGTTTATTACATTTGTTTTAATTCTCTCAAGAGGAGATGGTCTGAATAAAGCTGGGATGGAGTGAGACTGGGTGTGTCGTTCATCCAACCATCTGCAGGAGAAAATGAGCAAGAAATTAATTTTCAGGTAGAAAAGGATCATTTTGGTCATGCCGTCCATTATTCTGTTTGATTAGGGATTGCATATATGCTAATCACACATTTGAATTTAAAAAAATAATTATAATTTGCACAGCCAATTTTATAAGACTAAATTAGTCCCTGAATGTGAAATTTGTTAACCACACTCAGTTAAACAGTTGTGTTTGCTCAATTCTGTGTGGATGCAAACTCTCAAAGAGAAGAAGATTATACACTAAGAGTAACACGGGTTGTAACCACAAAACCACACCAACATTTCATTTACTTCCAGTTTTTTAACAGTACTACTCTGAACAAATTTTGAAACTTAAAACAGTTTTTTTAAGGGTGAGTTTAAATATCTGTACTGACTTAAGCTTTTCAACTCACGTGTTTCATTAGGGAAAGACAGGAAAAGGCAGCAAACCAGAAGGTCCAGTCTCCAAACTGCCAAGTCTCTTTCACATAGGCTACCAACTGCCTTTTTATAAAGCTCTGCTGAAGTTTATTCTCTTCTCAGTGCACTCCTACTGACAGTCCTGAGGAGTTTTAGAGTTTTTTATTCTGTGCTACAAGGGGAAGTCAGTACTGTACACCTGCTGCATTTTTCCTACAACATATGCAATATAACACAGGGCTCAGGACAAGTTGTTCATCTCAAGTTTTGGATAAATATATTTATACTGAATTGTTAAATTGTTTTAGTGTTATATTAAGTGGTGCATTGAAGGTCTAAAGGCAGGTTTGTATTTAGGTTTCTGCACATGCTTTCTCACAAGCGTGAGGTAATAATGTGCTTTGCTAGAATATAATAAATTCTGTTTAGTGATTGAGCCTGGAAATAGAAGAAAGAGAAGTAAGCACATGCTTTGGACATCTACTGACAGACCACTTGGATCTTGTCTGTCCCAGAAGCATATGGAAGGATGGCAGAAGGTAACCTGCAGTTCCATGCATATGCTTAGGCCTATTTTTAAGTCCTAAATCCAAGCTATAATGTCCTGCAAAAGCAGCATTCTCTTCACTTACTCATGGTCCTGGCAGAAAGAACAGCAAAATTATAGCCATTGTGCTATAAACACTCTCTAAGGTATTTTCAGTCATTTTCTCTAAATATTGGTAAATAAATTAGTTATGGCAGTTTGAATCTTTGAGAAGTATTGTTTCAGATTATGTGTATAGAGAATAAAAAATATAAACTATTTTCTATTATACCTCCAAGGCTTCTTGTGAGGCATGAAACACTTCTAAGTAGAACTTAGAGCCTGAAGGCATTCAGCGAGCAGCAAATAAATTTAACTGGCATGGTGGTATACATGGAAATACTACAACTCTACTAATAAACTGTAAAAACCCTACACACAGAACCTTTTAGGCAATAGCCTGTAGCATGATATTTTACATTAGCCCAAAATTTCAGCTAACTTTATTACTGCAAATAAGTTCATACCCAAGTGTGTCTGGTATTTCTAGGTTAAGGATACATTAAAAAAAAAACAATGAAAAAAACCAAAACAACAACAACCCCAAAACCAAAAAACCTCTTCATGTATTCAAATTTTAAACTACTATAAATCTGGCTAAACAACTAATCACCTTTCTGAAAGTTAATTCCCTACTGCAAATAAATTTGTGTGTCTGGGGAAGATGCATTCCTTTTCTACAGGGAGATTTAATTTAAATGCAAATCTTAATGGTATACAATTACAGGATATTTGTACTACACTCTGGCAAATATTCTTACTCAAATGACAATTATGTTATTTACAGAAGATTAAACATTATGATTTTACAAAACATTCACTGTGAGCATGAACTTCCAAAAAGCTGCTTGATTTATATAAACACACCATTCTTGAGTTTGCTAAAAGACTTTTAGAAATATCTTGTCAGCGTTTCCATTTCTGATAAACATGAAGAAAATACCATGATGATTTCCTTCTTAACCACAAGAATGCTATAAAAATTATGTGTTACACTGACAAATGATCTTTTAAATATATATTTGCATTTTGATCTAAAATATAAATGTTTTCATTTGAATGTATTTTTACTGATGGTGTCTCTTACTTATCCAAGGCAATTAACATTTTTGCAGTAAGCGTAGCAAAGTGTGTGCTGGATTCACTGCAGACTCTCATGATGTCTTGTAAACAGTAGAACACAGGGCATCCAGGACTGTATGTATATTTCGTATTATCTAAAAAAGAAACATTCTCTGAAGACACATCAGTGAGAAGAATCTTATTTTCCCTTCTGCATCTTTTGTAGTTATACATCCCTAATTAAGACTACACTTTAGGGTAGCCTTAATTTTCTCCAAATAATAATTGATAGCAATTACATAGAATCCTTACATAGCAATTCACAACCCAACAGGCTGGCCTTAAAACCCCTATGTATTCTGTCACACGACAGTGTGATCAGGTTCATTTGAAGAATAAATGTTAAATGCATTCTGTTACCAGAAAAAAAAAAAAAAGAAAGATGACTCAGGACTAGGAGGGACATGTATTGGTATACTGGTAGCTCCACAATGGTATCCATTTGATAGGTTTTATCAAGTGTTATGAGTAAGGCAAAAATGAAGAAGTTTCCCCAAAAGCACACATTTTACTTCTATGTAAATACTTCTAATATTTCTAAAATACTTCCCTAACAAGTAATTTATTTTGCTTTCTAAGGAATTTATTTACTGTTTAGAGACTTACTTATTCTTCTCTGAGTAGAGAACATTGAACTGAGTAGGAGTCTTAGAGTTGCATTCAGCAAGTTCTACACAAGTTAAGGCCTGTGTTTTGAAATATAACCAAATGCACAAATACTGCTTAAACCAGAAGTGTGCTATTGCTACAAAAACAAAGGCAATACATTAAACCAAAGGTTTCTTCCTTGACTTTAAGGGAGTTTTGCGCCTGCCTGCAACTTTTAATGTTTAAATACAGAAAAAGCCATATATGATATTAAAACATATTTTGTAAATATGTAATGTATTACATATTTTAATTATACATATAATCATATATCAATAAGACAGATATATACAAGTTAAAGATGTCATACAAAAAAAGGAAACCCTCAAGTGAACTTCTGCTAAAATGGGTGCAGCTTCACAAATCATGCTCAGTGTTACCTTTCACAACAGTTGGAACAATGTAAAGAGAGGCCTCCTGGCCTGCTTTCTCTCCATCTAGAGGAAACTTCTTCATTAACACCACACGCTTTCCTAGCACATTATTTAAAAACAAAAAACAGACAAATCACAAAACAATTAATTAGTCATCAAAACAAAGAAAAAAAAATCTAGAGTTGGATATCTGAAAGCTTACCAGACTCAATCTTCCTACTTTCCAGGAAGAAAAAAATATGTTTATGAGCTATAGTCTAAAGAAACTGAAGAAAATTTAAATACATATGAAAAACTAAAAAATATAAACGTGTATATACCCATTAACATGAAAAAATTATATGACTGTAGACCTTTTTAACTCTTCCAACCTCAGCTGCATATTTTAGCAGTGTACAAACTAAGCTGGGCATACTTAATGTTTGGGCCATCTGAGTGAGTTGAATTAAAACTCTCCAGACTATGTAAGGAACAGAGTATTTGCTTTTAGAAGGCATTCCTCTATATGTATTAATTCTGTTATTCTGTGTTTGCTGCATTATTAGCTCTGTTATATCCACTCAGCTGCAGTTACTGTCACCTGCAACATTTTACCACGTAAACAACAGAAATGAAGTCCACAGCAAAGACCAGAAATCCTTTAGTCATTATACTTTATACCAATCTGGAAATGTAATAGGCTGGCTAAAACAAATTTGTCAGCACAAGTGTGATGTTCTTTGCTGTATCAGCTATGGAACAACAAGTTAAAAAAAAGTACTCATCAAATTCTATCTGTGATACAGTTTTGCTAGAAATATTTTCATATAGATACTGTCTTCTGAACAACTGACTTTATAATCTATCAGTTCTCTAGTCCAAGTTTTAGCTGAAGTTATGGATACAAAAGCCACTTTGATCTGGTTTACTGGAAGTTTAGCTATAAATCTAAACTTGAGGTGAAGAAGCAGCACAGAAAAAGATTCATTTATTAACAATCACTTAGTGGGCATTTTATAGAGTTGGAAGGAAAAGAAAAACAAAGGTACATAAAAGGTTTTAGCTGTATAGTTGGCTTAGGTTTTTTTGATGAACCTCAAAATGGATCTTCTTTCTTTATACTAATTTCATGCTTTTGCACAACTTTGCCATGCCAATTTTAAAAACATTTTATAGTGCTAGCAATAGTATATTAGATTAAAATGGTCTTACCTTTAATACCCTGATTGGCTGGTGAAATTGGTTTGGTGGCTTCTAATACATAATCCAAGATGCTCTGGGTTATCTCAGTGCCTCCTTGAAGTTTAGTTTCTAGCAAAACTTTCTTTCTTTTTTTCTTTTGGCCTTCAATGGGAACTTCAAGCAGCAAAATCTTTCAAACAATAATGAAACCAAAGAAGTTTAAGCACAGCTGAAAGAAGCACAGAACTTTAAAAACTATTATTATTATTATTTATTATGCCACTGTAAAAGTAGTAACAAAATTCAAGAAGTACTAAATGTTGAGGAATAGAATGGTGAAGTCAGAATGACTCTGCAGCAGACTAAAGAGCAAAAGACAAGGCTACATTCTCTTCTATTATATTATAACTTATTTACTATACTATTTAAAAAGCCAAATAACTAATATATAAAGAAAATAAATAGTTTTACTTCATATGATTTAGCTCGATATTCCCGAGAATTGAGGCTAGCAGTATTTTTTGGACGAATCACAGCAACATATGCATCTCCAATGTTTTCTGGGTTTCCCATCTCTCCTTCTTACTTTATCACTGGAAATAATGAATAAACAGGAAGAAAAGGTTCAGCTGAAAAAAACATCCAACAGCATACTAAACTTCAGGATGCAGTGCTCATATCCACTGATGCTTTGCATTATTCATTTATTGTTTTTTAGCTGGAGAAATGCCAATGGCTGATATAATTCTGCTTCCTTTTCATGAAAAGAGAAAACAGGACGTCATACAAATTTGATACAAATAAGCTTATTCTCTAACCCATTTTTAAAATAAAAGCAATGGGTTTTTTTTTTCCACTTTGTAACTATCTTCCCCATTTTGCAAACCAGAAAAAAAGGCCAAAGAAATTCTGAACTCTGGAAAAGATGAGAAATTGAAAAAGAAAGCCATTTCAAAGTGACAAGCACTGTGATTTATAAATTGTGCTGTAAAAATTATTGCACTTTTATGAGTGCAATCCACATGGATTTCAAGAAAATACCTGGTTTTATCTCCCCCCGCAAAGTAGAACAGAGTCTTGCCTACAGCCAAGTAACAAAGCTGATAAAAATAAACTTTAATATGGATTCATTTACTTAGTTTTATTTCAGTGGGGCTGCAAACTGGTGCACAATTCATTCAAATCAAATTTCTGAAAGGAATACATCTTTAGGGTTTTTTTTTAACTGATAGAAGCATTTAGATTTAAGAAAAAGCTTTGCTTACCCTTTTGTTAAACCAAGGTGACAATTCCTAAAGTCACAAAATTGTATGGAAATTATATGGAAAATCTCCTAAAGCAAAATCACGTATCAGCTTCCAGAAAGAAGGTTATGTCTGACCATTTCCACCTTCCAGCTGATCATTTTCTTCATCTGCAAATGAACACCCTTTCATTCCATAGCATCAGTAAGCACATGCTTTTTGCAGATTAATTCCTCCACATATTTTAAACGTTAGTGTTTCTAGCTTCTCCACCTCTTCTAGAAGAAACAGAGGTCTTCAGATTCCTATGCCCTTAGTCCAGTATTTTTCCTGGGATCAATACTACCTGAAAAGATATCGAAAAAACCTCAACATAAATAACAATAATAAGCATGGATATTTTCACCATCAGTTAAAGATAAATACATTAATTAGAGGATTCAATGGTGGTGTGTGAACAGTATAATATCTGAAGAGAAACAGCTAATGATTTCCAGTAGCAAATTTACAGTATTTACATTAGTATTTAGTATGCTATTTACAGTAACATCTAAAAACGTGAAACAAGCAACATGCTGACTTATGAGAACTCATACTTTAGGATATTAAGAATTTTAAAAGGAAAAAGAAACAACCATCCCTCATGCACAGCTGGGAAAGGCCTGCTCCTTGGGTTTCCTTACAGGTGCTTCGATACACAGGGTTTGGGTCATAGGCTGGTGTGGAGGGAACCTGCACTGACACGGCCGGGTCACCTGATGACAGGTGGCGAATAAGCACTGTCACTTATGCCAGTGCTCTGCCACTGCTCTGCACTGAGTCCAGTGCAGAATGAGCATGTCCGTGAAACCGACAGCGCCGAGACTTGCAATACGACTCCAGAAAACAGAGTGAGGATGAAGGGGGCGGGGAGCGGGGAGGTGTCATGTCAGGACGTGACAATAAACACAACCAGCTTCAGAAAACACCCTCACGAACTGATTCTGACCAAGCCCAGGTGCTAACACCGCGCCCCCATTCTAAAGGCTGCCGGTCACCCAGGCTTCCCCCAGCACCGCCGACCCTTCCCGGCTCCCGCAGGACCCGCCGGGAGGAGGCGGAGGGCGGCTCCCGCCGGCACGCCCGGCCGCGCCACCCCGGCCAGGGAGGAGGGAGGCCGGGGCATCGGAAGCCCCGCAGCGCTGCCTCGCCTCGGCACGGCCGGAGGGCGACGGGCGGGAGGCGGCCCCGCACCCCCGCATCTCCCGCCCCGCACCGCCCGGCCGGGAAACGCCCCCGAACTTCCCCGGCCGCGCCCAGAAGCCGCCGGGCTGCGGCCCCGAGGGGCGCTCCCCCTGAATCCCCGCGGGGCGGGAGCGGCTCCCCGCGCTCAGCACCGCCCCAGGACCGGGGTGAGGGAGGTCGCCCCGGCCCCGCTCCCTCCCTGCCTGCCTGCCTTGCCTTCCTCGGTGGCGCCTGCCGCCGCCTGCCCGCCGCATCCTCCCGCCGCGCCCGCCGCCCAGGCCCCGCGTTCCGGCCTGCTCCGCCCCGTCCCCGCCCCGCTCCCTCCCACGGCGCGGTGGATCCGCTTCCCGTCGGAGCCCCGCGGGCCTCGGCTGCCGATGAGTTTCCGGGTCGGCGGCCTGAACTTGTGTTGCCGCCGCCGGTTGTTGACCGCGGGCGGAGAAGGAGGGAGCAAGCCGGGGCTGCGGGCCGGGAGCGGGAGGCGCGGCTGGCGGGCGGGGAGGCGTCGAGGCGGAGCGGCGGCCCGGGCCCGCGGAGCGCCGCCGGCAGCAGCTGTCAGCGCCGCCGCCGAACAAAGGGGCAGCGAGCAGGCGGCAGCCGCAGCGCCGTGCCCGCGCCGGGGGCCCCGGCGAGCTGAGTGACAGCCCCGGCTGTCCGTGAGGCTCTCACTGGAGCGGGCACTCCAGAGGGCGCCGTACCCGGAGCGGAGCGGGAGAGGAGCGGCCGCTGGGCACATGGAAGCTCTGAGTGCCGGGCGCGGAGGCGCCGGGAAGGGCCGGGGAGAGCCCCTGTGAGGAGCCGGTGAGTGCCCGCGGCGCTGGGCGAGGTTCGGGCGGGGGCTGCGGGAAGGCACGGCCAGTGGAGCCCGCTCGCGGGTGAAGCCTGGAGGCTCCGCACTCGGGGCGTCGGCAGCGCCGCGCATCGCGGGGGGGCCGGGCCGGGAGGCGGCTCCGGGGGCGCCTCGGTGCCGTCGGCAGCCGAGGGGAGCGGAGAGCGGGAGGAGGGAGCAGCCGGGGTGCGGAGGTGAACAAGCGGCAGGTTACCGAGGGTAGTGTGCAGGGGGCTGTGGGGAAGGGGGATGGCGGGAGCCGCGGGCCGCCGGGCCGGGGGAGAAGCGGGGAGAGAGGCCGCCTCCGGCCCGGGCTCTCGGAGGGCGGGGGGCTCGCCCGGGAGCTGGCCGGGTGGGGGGATCGGAGCCAGCTCCCGGGGCGGCCGGGACCCTTGTAAAGTTTGGAGCTGCCGGATGGCCTGGCTTCAGCCCGGTCTGGGAGCTGGGCTCATGCCCGCCTTGTTCGCAGCCGGGAAATCCTGCCTGGAAGGCAGAAGCGAAAAAGTGTGAGTGGTCGGAGTGGGAGCGTGTGCTGCGGAGCGAGCTGTGACAGTGACCTGGCTTCCTGGTTCGACAACGCTGTCAGAGTAGCCCTTGAATGAATTTAAACGCTCGCGATCTCGGGGGTGTGGGGTTTTTGGTTTGGTTTTTTTGTCTGTTTGGTTTTGGTGGGTTTTTTTGTTTGTTTTTTGGTGGTTTTTTTCTTTTTTAACCCAGTCAGTCGAAAAAAATTTAGTCTTGATACCGTAGCAGTTTTATGTAAGTAACAGTGTCCCTCTCCCATGTCTAAGCACATACTGGAAATTGGGCAACTTCTAAAAATTAATCTTGATAATTCATGACTAGTCTACCTCTTATTTACAGTTCATATAGTATGCACAGGATATACAGAGTCATGAAAACATTCTCAGCAAAAAGCTAATACTACAGCTTAAATTGTTTGCATGGATCCCTCCATTATGACTAACCGTCCTTGATTGCACCTTCTTTGAGTGCATTTCTGTGCTTACCAGTTCCAGAAATGGAGCTTTAGTTGTAGACATAACATCAATAATGTGCTGTAATTTAAGCACATTCATTGAAGAGAGAGACGGCTTTTGAGAGGATTTTGGCTGTAGAGGTTAGCAATGAGACGAGGCTGTGTCTTCCTTACTTGTATGGCTGTTTTATCCTTACTTTCATCTTTTTGATTTTCTGTGTGAAGTGTGGTGGATTAATTTCTCTTTAATCTCTTGCGTACAGAGGAAAATTCCTCTTCTTCCTTGGGGGGGAAAACAGGCTTTAGTCATAAGGAAAGCAACAGTGTTTTTCAACTACTTAGAACATGTGACTTGTTTCTTCACAGAAGCAAATAGGTAGAATTTACAGCAACTTTTTTTTCTTTTTTTTTTTGTTGATGTTGAAAGAGTAAATGGCTGTATTTACAAATCACAGAAGACGCTTCTGAAAACTGTAATTCTGGGCTTTTCTGTGATCCTGTACTCTGTCAATTCCTTCTTCAACAAATTTTACTTCAGTCGTTAATCAAAAGAATAATATATTTTAGTAATACAGTCTATTATTCCTGAATTACAGTATTGCTATAAGTCTACTAAAAAGCTAAACAATGTTGGTGGTGCTCTGTACTCATGTATATATGCATCAGCAGAGTATTATGAATGAAGATTAATTTTAAAAGAAGAATTACAACAGTGCCACTATAACAATAATGTCAAAAGCCAAAACCCAAAAGTTAGGCAAGTAAGTTTTATGCAGTCCCTTTTATTTTTGCTTGTGCCATACACATCTAGGTAGGACTAGGTATGTATGTAAGTATGTGACTGGGTTTATTGCACAGAACATGGAGTTTCCTGGACATAGTTACATATTGCATGTGAGTTTACATGTATCTCTTATGTGTTCCTGTCTGGCCTACACACTTCAGAAAATTAAAGAAAGCTAAACATGTAAATATGAAAAGGAATGCCTCCTAAAGCTGCCAGCTTTTATTCAATGGAACAACTATAAAAATGGTTTTAGAAAATGTCATTATGGTTTTTTTCACTGTATAAAGCCTTGTTAATGCTATGGTTGTTTTATTCTGTCCTGAACAGTTTATCACTCCTGGTCCGTGACATCTCTGCTGTGATTGCTTATCACTATGTTTCTTTTTGTTTCAGTACTAGGGCTTTGTTTATTAATCATTAACTAGTTTGGCTAGCAAGTTTTGTGATTGTTTATTTTTATTTTTGTTTGGTTGGTTTTTTTTAAGGTCCTTTTTGCTTTGTGTATTGAAGGGATTTTTTTGTTAGGTTTTTCTTGTGTTGTGGGGGGGTTGTTCATTTGTTTTTGAGGGGTTTTGTTTGATGGATTTATTTTTGCTGTTCAGATGTCATGTAGTTACCGTTACCTGAGTAGTTCATTAACTTCTCCTTGGAATCTGATAACTAGAGGTTGCTGTCGGCAGTTGTCACTGTTGAAGTTTTGTCAGCTTTGCTAAGGTGACTCATGCCAGTAAGAAGGAAAATTGAGAAGCTGGAGGTTACTGATACGTGTGCTGAACCAGTTACGTTTCTAATCATATTACTGTGTTCGCATAATTGGTAATGACACATAGCAAAGACAGATCTGTTTTACTTGAAGAGCAGCCCTGTGGAAATTCTGAAATGTTCAAAATTACACGGAAAATTCTGTTTTCAACATTATTATCATCAAGCAAGACTTTTACTGCTTTTGCTTCCTCATCCCAAAATACAATACCAAGTAGTTTTCCATGGAGCACTATAGAAATCACACTTATATATAAATTTTAGGGGGAAATATTATTTCATGCAAGATTATATTACATTTTACATTGAAAGTTCAAGCCAGAGATGTCTACCTAATGTTTAACAACTGCTGTTTTCTTCATAACTGCTAAATGTGTTCCAGAATTATTGGAAACAGACGCCTTAGTCTTTGTTTGTGACAGTGGAAGGCCAAGTGCAAGGTCTGCACCTGGGTCAGGGCAGCTCCTGGTATTGGCACAGGCTGGGGAGTGAAAGGGTTGGGAGCAGCCCTGCCGAGGAGAACTCGAGAGTGCTTTTGGATGAAGAACTGAACATAAGCTGGCAGTCTGCACTTGCAGCCCAGAAAGCCAGTTGTATCCTGGGCTGCATCAAAAGCAGGATGCGGGAGGGGATTCTGCCTCTCTGCTCTGCCCTGGTGAGAGAGACCCCACCTGGGATGCTGCATCCAGCTCTCAAACAGCAAAGACATGAACCTGTTGGATCGGGTCTGGGGGAGGGACACGAACATGGAGCAGCTCTCCTGTTGCTGTTGACCTCATTTCAGAGAGACAAGACACAATCTTTTAAGGAGCAAAAAAAGCTAGAACTTTATTTTATATATATAGAGTTTTATAAACCCTCCTGTGTCTATGGTAACAAGCTGTTATTGCATAGTAATTGGTCAGTCTTGGACAAGGTGTTTTTATGTGCAAGAAAGGGTTGTTTGTGAGATACTGTTTTCATTCTTAAAGCTGAGACACTTGGGATTGTTGAAACAGGTGCAGGAAAACAGTCTTAATCTGTAGAATTCTTTCACAGGGAAACAAGTTGGTTTTTGCTGTTGCAGGCTTTTGTTTTCATGAAGAGCTGCTAGCTTTCCCACAGCTATGTCGGACTAGGATTTAGTTTGTGAGGCCTTGTACAGGACGAGGATTTAGTTTTAGTGAGGCCTTGTACAGGCCTGCTGTTTGCCAGCACACCCTCCTGTGAATAAAAGCTGAGAGAGTTGGGGTTGCTCACCTTGGAGAAGAAAAGGCTCCGAGGAGATGCTGTTGCAACTTTTAGGTATATAAAGGGAGCCCGTAGGAAAGAGTTTTTACTGGGGGCTTTTTTTATCAAACAAGGAACAAGAGTTTTTAACTATTTTAGATAAGGGAAACACTTCTTTTGACCTAAAGCTTATTTGTAGTACTACTGAACTCTTCCTGTTGGAGGATAATTGCAGCTAAAATATGGGATGGGTGGGGGTTTATGGAGCAGCTGTGTTACAGTGTTGCAAAGAAAGTTACTCTTGTAACTTTTCCTGTTTAATTCTGTGCTGACAAGGAAGGGGACAAAATTAATCCTCTAAAAGCAAGGTATATATTTGTGCATAAGCTTACACCTAGAAATCAACATTTGTACACAACCTTCAGTATAGTAACATTATTCTTTGACAATAACTTAGTGTAGTTTGTATATTACAGTCACAACTATGTAATATATAAACTATTTATAGTTTACTATAAATTAATATATTATTATTAATTACTATAATAATATATTACTACTATTACTATATTAATAATTCTGTATAAAAATAGTTTATATGTGCAGGCTTCTATGTTGGAAAAAATTAATTAAATTTCTTGGGGATTTTCCCTACTTAAAGGAGTTTCCCAGTGGCTTGTGATTAGCATGTTGACACACCTGAACAACTTGCAGTAACATGATATGGAAGACTTCCTATGCTCTCTCTGCCCAGCTGAGTGCAGTGACTTTAAGGTGCAATGGTGACAAGTTCCTGCCCAATGTCATAGAGGTGTGGCTCTTCTGTGAGTGCCTTACCTTCCCAAATGCCCTTACATAATACCTAGGAGCCTCTGCCCATGAAGCCAAACAGTAACAAGGATGATGGTTCATCGAGCTTGGTGCTGCCAAGGTTAAGTTGACCTGTACCCTGCATCAAATCTGCTCCCACAAAGCAAAAAGGATGGCTCATTGTCACAGGAGACTCCCTTCTGAAGGGAGCAGAAGACTCAAAGAGAAGGACCAAGTTCTTGGGGAAGTCTCTTGCTTCCC